TTGTTATTTACTGTTACCAAAGCACAGTCTTTAAAAAAAAAAAATGTACTTCATACAGGGTCTCACTACGTAGCTTGGACTTGTAGCGATCCTCCTGTTTCCAGCCTCCCCAGAGTTGGGTCTGCAGGGGTGCGCCACCACACCAGGCGTCGGGGGCGGCCTGGCGCAGCATGTGATGGCCAAACACAGTCTTAGTCAACATTCAAAGCGGAGGGTCCCGGGCCGGGCTGGACTGGCGATGGAGGGTGAGCGGGCCAAGGCGCCCGTCCTGGACGCAGAGATTGCAGCCCTGCAGCAGGCTTGCGAGCAGCGGCCGGCGCCCTGGAAAGATGCATCCCAAGTCCGAAAATCATTTCTAGAGATACACCAAACAGATTCTGCAGGATGGCAATCTTCAGACCACTTGAGAAGTGATCTCAGACATTTAGAATCAGAACTTTCATTTCTAAGCATACTTACTGGCTTCACTATAAGTGAAGATTCCTTATATTACTTATTACTCTTAGATTATTCTAAGACAACTGAGGATCAGACAAGCACTGAGATGGCAGAAGAAGGTATAAAGAAAGTTCTACAGAGACACTGATTATCAGGAAATTACCACATAGTTCCATTTCAACTTGAATTTCAGATTCTGGAAACACAGAATAAGGAGAAATTATCTTCTGTCACTACTGACCTTGCCATAATAATGGAGCCCTCAGAACACTCAGAGCTAAGTGACTTTGTGTCTAGAGCAGAAGAAAGAAGCGATTTATTCATGTTTTTCCGAGGCCTACATTTTTTTGTGAAGTGGTATGAGTATCGTAAGCGCCCATTGAAACATTTCAAGAGCTGTCTGCCATGCCACCGTGCTTGGAGCCAGCTGATGCTGGATTAAACTTGTACATCCTGTGAGCCGAAAGAAACTAAAAGTTTTCTCCTTTAACTTTCAGTGTTGAGTGTAAGAGTTCCTGAGATACCACTCTCTTGTACATGTATATTATATCCTTTGTTTCCAACACTGTTTGTTGAAGAGACTATCCTTTCCCCATTACATGCTGTCAGCATTTGTGTTGAAAATCATTTAACCGTACAATAAATACATCAAGGATTTAAAAAAAAAATTCAAGTTTGTTTGCCGTCTTCAAATTCATCAAAATGCTGTTATCATTGAGACCTTCAACATAGTCCAGATCAAGCAGGTCTCTGATATCCTGTGAAATGTTGGTTTAATAGTTTAGCTTAAAAAAACAGGAAGAAAAGAAAAATAGTTTGGTTTATTTGGCTCAAAAATCTCACTTCTGGACAGAGCGACTAATGGCCTGTAGAGCAACATGCCTAAGTTTTATTGTGACTACTGCAATAAGTACCTCACCCATGACCCTCCGTCTGTGGTAGGAAACATGAAGAGAATGTGAAAAACTGCTACCAGAAATTGATGGAAGAGCAAGCTCAGAGCCTGATTGACAAAACAACAGCTGCATTTCAACAAGGAAAGATACCTCCTGCTCATGCTCCACTCCTCCCCCAGCAGGGGCTATGATCCTACCTCAACCCAGTCTCCTGGGTTCTCCTTGCCCTGGTATGGTGCCTGTGCCCCATATGGGAGGCTCTCCCATGATGCCAATGATGGGCCCCCTCCTCCCAGGACAAAGTCAGTGGGACCTACTCCTGGAATGAGACCACTCGTGGGAGGCCACATGCCTATGATGCCTGGGCCTCCAATGATGCGACCTCCGGCTCAGCCCACAATGGTGCCTACTTGGCCAGGAATGACTCAACCAGACAGATAAAGTACAGGGGCAGCCTCTGTATCAGTTTTAAATTATTTGTTCTGCTTCACCAGGGGATCATAGTGCTTGACTCTGGGTGTTTTCTTTCTTTCTTTTTTTTTTTTCCCGGAACCGGGGATTGAACTCAGGCTCTTGCGCTTGCCAGGCAAGCGCTTATTCTATGGAGCCTCTCCCCAGACCTCTGGGTGTTTTCTAACAGCATGAATGACCAGGAAGACTTGCTCCCCCTTCCTATCAAAGAATAGTTTTGAAGGGAGAAGTACAATAACCAGCAGTGCAGAAAGTACAGTTTCATTTGTATTGTGAAATGTGAAAAGAAACTTGTCAGCTCTTTTAGTTAAAAAAGACTCACTTCTTAAAAAAAATAAAATTAAAATAAAATTAAAAAACACTTCTTTTGAGGAGATGCAATGTAATATGAAGTGGTTATTGGGCTTTTTAAAAAAGTTATAAATTATTTGTAGATTGGACTCAGTGTCTCGCCACATAGTTTAGACTGGCCTTGCACTCCTTTATATTCCAGGCTGGCCTAGAACCCACTGCAATCTCCCAACCTCAGCCTCCTGACGGCTAGGTTTCCAGGTGTGTGCCATCAGGCCTAACAATTTACATTTCCTGGGTTTCCATGATTTTTATGTTTCCCCTTTGATGAAAGTCAGATTTTTCTCCATTCTCTCTCTCTCTCTCTCTCTCTTTTTTTTTTTTTTTTGGTGGTACTGGGGATTGAACTCAGGGTGTTGTGTTTGCCAGGCAAGTGCTTATTCTTCTGAGCCATCTCCCTGGCCCTCTCCATTCTCTTGAAGCCACTCCCTTGAGACCCAATTTGCCCACGATTGCCCAGTGTGGTGGATGAATGGTGCTTGAATTTTCTTCAGCCCTGTTGAGAACAGTTCCTAAAGTCAGGAGCCTTGAACTCACAGAATCACCCAGGTGAACTCTTACCAAATCACCCATCTTTGGGTAAATTAAACTATGGCAGTTGCTCCTCAGAGTTTTCAGTCCCCAGAGATACATGGCAGGTTATCTTGCTACAGTGCTTGACGTGCACCTCTGTCCTAACTGCAAGTAGCCTGAGCCTCGCTGGCTACCTGGGGCTCCACCTGGACTGCATGTTTCCTGTTCTCATCACGTGATGATGATTTAGCTGTCTTTATGAAAAGACACTGAAAAGAAACCTACCCTCCAGTGCAATAAAAGCAAAAAATGTCTACAAAATGAAGGCATGCTTGAACTTAGAAATTAGTGGTAGTCTGGAATAAAATGTCTCTATGATTGTTAGGGGGGTACATATACTTGGTAGTATTATGATTTATTAAAATATTGACTGGTGTCACGTTGTGGTGTTTTTTTCCCATCATTCCAAGAAGGTGTTGAAACATAGTAAAAGTTATAGGTGTCAAATATGCTGAGCTCCTGTTTCCTGAAGCTAAAGAAGGAATTCTGAGGAACAATGGAGGCTGAGTAGGAAAATTTATTGGGGAAGAGGAGTGGGGAATAGGAATGGGGAAATAGGGAATAGGCATAGCTCCTGAGAGATAGGAGGGGTCCCCGGTGGGTTGCCAGTGAGCAGCCCTCTGAAGGGAAATTCTGCAGAGCAAAATCATGAAGTGGGTACAACAGGGTCAAACGTATGATCAACCAATAAGAGCGCAAGTACAGTGACTTAGGTAATATTGATCTAATGGTCACAAGAGTACATGAGTGACATCATTAACCTTGACCATAATCTATAGTCTTATTCTCATCTTTACTCTTAGCAGTCTTCATCTTAGAAGGAAGGACACGGGGTCCACCCCAATAAGATAATGGCAAACTGCAAAAGGGTGAGACCAATAATTCCAAACCTCCAATCAACCCGTAGGGAAGTGACTCCCTCAAGGGCCCAACCCTGCCTGGCTGACTGCTATATTTCTACCGACTTAGCTATCTAGAAATTTAAGATAACTTTTCTTCTTATCTTCTGTGAAGGACTAAGATTGTTGAAAATGTTATTCTTGGGGCTGGTGAGATGGCTCAGTGGTCTAAAGCACCTACCTAGAACAAGCTAAGCAAAGCACAGGGACCGCAGTTCAATCCCCCAGCACCACATGCCAGCCCGCCCCGCCCCCTGGTGGGCTGAGCTGGCCACACACACACACACACACACACACACACACACAATTTTAAAAAATAAATAAATAATTTAAAAAAGAAAAAAAGAAAATGTTATTCTTGAGTCCTGGAGGAAAACAGAAGGGGGCTTGAGAGAAGGACAGAGAGCTTCTGCCCAGACAGAGAAGGGTTCAGTTTGATGAGTCCTCGATGCCTTCCTCTAGGGGAAGGAGCTGGTAGGTGGTGGGCACAGAGGGTGCGGAGGGCCTGCAGGGTGCACAAGGAGGCTGCTGCTCCAAGCCTTGCTGAGGCCCATTGAGGACCTGGGGGCCTTGGGCTTCCACAGACCACGCAGGTCAACAGAGACAATGGAAAAATGCAGTGTGACTTAGAATTTATTGAGAGCTGTGTCTCCCCAGAGCACATAGTTAAATCCTATTTCTCTGCCAGTCCTCTTGTGTCTACCTGTGGCTAATGCTGAGTCTGAGTCTACAGGTTAGAGTACTGAATGCCATTTGGGGCATGCCCCTGAAGAGTTCCTGTGGTCTCTACTCCAAGTCCCGCTTCCAATGCCTTCTCAGAGTGACAGGAAGCAAAGGCTTCCAAAGCCCTGCTGAGGAGGGAGCCCTGGGACATGTGGGGCCTGGATCCTGAGTTACTGCTTGGAGAAGAGCTGCCTGGAATTGCCTCCTGACTGGGAGGGGACACACATAGTGGAATTTTCATGAGTAAGGAATGAATTGCCTGTCTTAAACACTGTGATTTGGAGGTTTTGGGGTATTTTTGTCCCTTTGCATAGAATTAGCTTTAATTGCCTGGCTAATTCCAATGTCCCACCCTCCTTCCCCATGCACCACACATGCCTTCCAAGTGCTTCTGAGAGGAGGAGAGATGACCCCAATAATACCTGAGATTGAGTTTCCTACTGACACACTCGGACTCAGAGAGGGATTTCATTTGATTAGAAAAAAAGAAATTATTTGAAAGAAGATAACATTATAGACTAGGAATTTTATCTCACTTCTTCATCTGAACTCTTTTTCATTCTGGGAAAGACATAAAGTGAGGCATTCTGGCTTTTCTAAAAGGCAAGGCCCTCAGCACAGACTTAATGTGTGTGGCTCTTTCCCTCAGGCCAGCAGTAGCTTCCTGGCAGCTCGTCTGGCGCTTTATTCCAGGCCCTTCCACGGGGTGGCCAAGGGTCTAGGACAGCGAACAGGTAAGCCTTTCTTTCAGTCTTTTGCTCCTTCAGTCCATTAATTGGATTGAAATTTCTACTTCAGGCTGTTCTCCTCATCTCTAGCTAATGCTATCGCCTGAAATACTGCCCACCACACATGAGCTTTTGACAGCAAGAGCCGCTCAAAAGCCTCTCCACGCCTCTGTTCCAGGAATAACCCAAGGAAAGGGTTGCTACCTGTGAAAGCTAAGTGGTGAAACCCTCTCTGTCCACCGCTTCAAAAGCGTAACTGTCATCGTCTGCCTTATTTTGTATTATAGCTGCTCTCTGTCAATGAAACGTCCCAGCTCTCTATTCATTATAGAGAATAAAGAGCTTTTCAAGTGTGAGATGCTAAACCCAGAAAGGAACAGAGCTATTTTTAAGAAGGCTTCAACTCTGAGCTGTTGCAAGGGGCGAGCCTGCCAGCAATGCAGGTCTTCCAGGGAGGCCAAGACCCAGGGAGGTCAGGAAGGAAGCTCCTGGGGCGCAGCGTCCCTGCTCTGGCCGCGACAGCCCTGCTGGCTCCTACCTGCCTCTTGTAGACAGGATCGCCAGGGGCCGGGGGAGGACGTTTCTTCTCACCTATTCTGAGCTTGCTGCCTGCCCCAGGCTTCTCACACCCACTTCCTCCACAAAGGAAACAAGCTGCTCGGCTCCCATCTCGGGAGGCAGGGAGGAGGGGCGCCTGTGTGTCCTCTCCTATCCCCGGCAAGCCATATGCAACTGGCAGCCACCACGCTTCTCTGCAGGAAGAGGATAATCAGAGCTGGATTCCCAAATGAAAGGAGGAGCATGCAGAGTTGCCCGCCTCCTGTCCAACTGCAGTGAAACCACCCTGCTGGGGCTCGCCAGAGCTGTTGGGAAGGCGTGGGGACAGGGACCTGGAGTCAGGGTTAGGAGACCTGGTTCCTGCTTCAAGGGCCTCACCCTCTCCTAGGGAGCAGTGAGGATCATGGCTGTTTCCTCTGCAAGGTCACCTGTCACTGTGGAGGTAATCAGTGCTCTGAGGTTGGCAGACGTATGTTTTCCTGTTGTTCAAGGTCATAACATGATGCCACTGGATGCCCAAGGAGACATTGAAAGCTGATAGAAACTATTTGGGGCTCGAAAGAAGTAAGATAACATTTCCTATCCTCCCAATGGATTCCACATCTCCACCAGAGAAGAGGAGTAGGAGATTAAGACAGTTCTATCAAGAGTAAAAAAATGTACGCATCGTAATATGGTCAGAGAGAACCAAAACGACCAACAAATATTATACTAGAGTGGTTGCAGGAAAGAGAAACTTATTTGATCATAATATATCTTGTACCACAGAGAACTTCTGAGAGACTATGAAGACACAATTGGGTTTTTTAAAAGGAAAAAAAATTATAGCCAGGAAAAATATAGGCAAAATAAGATGATTAGATTTAAAAGAAAAGATAATATAGTCAAGATAATAAGAGTCTATTGTCATAACAATGAGGCAGCCAATGAGGCCCTGAGCTTCCAGGAAGCCAAAGGAAAAAGGGAAATACGATCACTAAATTTACATCTTTCTTGAGGCCCACACCACCATCACCACCATGACCACCACCACCACCACCCATTCCTTATTCTTTTTATCCTAAGATTCATAAGCATGGGTATTTATCTTCATGCAGAGAATATTTAGGAAGTTTCATTATGGTCTTCTTCAAGTATTTGATGGGCTGCCAAGTACGAAACAGAAAGATTGCTTTGGGTAATTCCAGATCACAAAACTAGAATCAATGAGTGTAAGTTAAGAGGAACAGATTTTGGTTAAAAATAAAGAACTTTCTAACAATTAGAGTTGTCCATAAATGGAATGAGCTGTCTGGCAAAGAAGTGAGCTCCCTGTTACTGGAAGTGATCAAACAGAGGCTGGCTAACCATCTGTTAAGGATGAGAAGGGTTTGCGCATAATGAGTGAATTATGCAACAACATAATATGAGGCTCTTCATGACAGTTTTATTTATAATAGTGGGGGGAAAATAGAATCAACCTAAATGCCCAACAGTAAGGGATTAGTTAAGTTATTTATATACTTTCTTGTGACTTATTTATTTATTTACAGATTTTACAGATATTAAAAAAGCAAAGACATGGGGGAAAGGCTGGCAATCAGCTACATAAAGAAAAGCAAAGTCCTAAAATAGTAATATATTGTGAACCATTTTGTGAAGAAAAATTATGCAGAGAAACAATACTAAAGATACTAAAGAGAGCACATACATAAAAACATTAATAGTAGTCATCATTACTGTTTGCATTTTGGGTGATTTTTCTCCTGCAGGCTTTTTAGGCTTTCCCAAGTTTTCTACTTTAAATACTTACTGCTTTTATTATTTTTTCTTTTTTTGTTATTGTTGTTTTGTTTTGTCTTTTCAAGACAGGATCTCTCTATGTCATGTAGGCTGGTCTTGAACTCATAGCCATCCTCCTGCCTCAGCCTGTGTGCTGGGATTATAGGTATGTGCCACCATGCTTGACATTAGCTGCCTTTTTTTTTTTTTTTTTTTATGGAACTGGGGATTGAACTCAGGCCCTTGCACTTGCCAGGGAAGCGCTTATTCCACTGAGCCTTCTCCCTGACCCCCATTAACAGCTTTTATAGTTAGAAAAAAGAAAGCAAAAAAGAAAAACACAAAAATAAAAACAAAGAGCCCTTCATTAGTCCACAGTTTTAACTGAGATGATTCATGTTTTCAAGCTTAATACTGTATTCCATAATTTTATTTAAAACTTCAGATGATGTCTCTCTTCTTTGTTTTTGTTTTTGAGATAAGGTCTCATTTTGTATTTCAGATGGACCTTGAGCTTGTGGCATTTGTCCTGCCTCAGACTCTTAGCTCAGATCCCCCACTCCCACCCTGTGGTGGAATCACAGGCACAAGATACCAAGACCACTAGCTTTCTCTTCTTATAGAATATAAATACCTTTGTAACAAAGAAATGTCGGCTAAAGTTTGTGAGTTTTAGATGCAACTGAATCTGAGTGTGCTTGCTGGTGCCATTTCATCTGCCGCCCCACTGCACTTGATTTGAGGCCAAGTGACTGAAGTCTCCTTGGAAACACATGGAGTATAAATGTGAAAGGCTGCCCAGTAGGGCTACAGGTATAGCTCAGTAGTAGGGCATCTGTCTAGCAAGTGCAAGGCCCTGGGTTTGAGCCCCAAATAAATGTCTGTACAATAAAGAAGAAGGAGTTCAAAAACGAATCAGACACAATCGGGTCTTAAATTTAGGTCCTGCTACATGTTGACTTTCTCAACCTTGATGGGGAATAGTAGCAACAGCTGAGATCTGTAGCAGCTTCAGTGTGTGCCAGTCACTGTTGAAGTGTTTCACATGCAGTAGAATTCTGCTAACAATCATCTAAGGTGAAGTTTTTATTTTTAATGGCCCAGGAGATTGAACCCAGGGCCTTGTACATACTAGGCAAGTGCGCTTCAACTAGGATATACCCCTCGGCCTTCTTATTTTATTTTAAAACAAAATCTCACTGAGTTACCCAGGCTGGCCTCGAACTTGCAATCCTCCTACCTCCACCTCCTGAATAGCTGTGATTACAGGTGCACGCCATTACTTCCGGGCTGGGATGAATACTATTATCTTTATTTTTTTCAGATGATAAAAATAAAACAAAGAATTTCAAACTATCTTGCCAAGCCCACAGAGTGAGAAACTGATGGAGTGAAAATTCAAACCCAGACAGTCTAATGTTAGGATCTACAGCGCTGAGCTCTGTACCTTCCTGCCTTACAGAGCTGTGGAAGGGGAGAGTAAATTAATATATGTAAAGTGCCTAGCAGAAAAGTGGGCAGTCAGTATGTTAGTTTTCTTTCAAAACATTTCCATTGCTCCCTGGGCCCAGAAAGACATTTGATTGCCTTCCCCATACTGTATTCTGTCCCACTGGGCAAAGGTGGCTGGATGGTGGGCAGTTTTACAGTGAGTTTACTATCAATAACCCTAATGTCAAATCAGGAATATTAGAAATCGTGTCCTACAGGACTCCATTCCGGGCCTGATTCTTTAATATTTCATCAATGATTTACATGGATAGAACAGAAAATAAGCTCCTAGAGCTGACAGATGATAGCATGCTGTTAGCAGATGACACCCGTCGTCAGCGAGGAAGGCGAGCATCCAGGACAGGATTAGAATTCCAAATGGTCTGGCAAGATGGAGACGAGGTGGAGGCAAAAAGAATGAACTTCATTAGTAACGAGCACAGAGCAATACAATTATTAAGAGGGCAAACAGATGATACTGGCATAGTAAGGGCAGTGACTAACCACGAGCTCTCGTCCCTGGAAGGGGTTAATGGTGGAAATTGTTCAGAACTGGAAATGAGACAGAAAGTCAAACATGATTCTGGAAACGTACTGACAAGTGAATCAATTTTCCCATTATATACTGTGTGTTAAAGCCCTTTTTGGGAATGTTTTTTTCCCCCCTATTTCAATATTGTTCTGGATGTCTTGGAAAAGGCATAGAGAAAGCAGAAGAAATCTTTATGGTTGCAAAGTATAAAATGACATCCCTTCATTGAAGAAAGTGAGTCCGCTGCTGACGATTCACTTAGGAATCATTTAGTGAGCACAATTTAGGTGCTAGCCTTTGTGCTGGGTGCTGGGGAACAAAAGCTATCAAGACCTGCTTTGTACCCTTGAGTGTGGAGACAAGAGAAGGATCACTTTAAGCCTATAAAAAGACTAGTTATTCAGAATAGGACCGAGATTCCTGATATCTATGCCAGTTATCAGTAACTCCTATGACCTCTCTCCTTTTCCTTTTCTTTCTTCCCACTTCTGCTTTTCTTCCCTTTCACTCTTTATCTGTAGTCTTTGGATCTTTGACTGCAGCCTGCTAGCAGGCAGGCTAGCCAGTTATTTTCAGTGAAGTCCTATCTGAGACTTTGCCAGGATACTGTGGTGGATTGTCATTTGGTGGTCAACTTTTTATGCCCAGCTGAATTGAACTAGCA